CCCCGCCTTCCCAGCAGCTCTGCTGAGCCACGGCACTGCCACGAGGCGCTCGCCCTCGCTGTGGGCAGCACACGAGTTAATATTAGCTGCCGCCGCGCTGATCCCGGGATTACCGCCGGCCCTGCACCCCTAATCCCGGGCCGGGCCGGGCAGGCAGCGCCGCGGGCAGCGGCACGGCCGGCAGCTCCCGCTGCGGGGCCGCTCGGCAGATGTTTGCCAGATGTGGGCAGCTGCCTCCAGCACTGGGAGGGAGCTCAGCCCACGGGGGCTCCACAGTGCAGGCAGTGACCCCAACGGGCTGGGAGGGTGAGAGGCCAAGCCGGCAGCACCAGAGCCTGAGAGCTGTGCCAGGGCACTGCCAGGGGAGCACGGCTGCCCCGTGGGAACGGTGAATGCCCAGGACTGTGTCTGCGGGCAGCAGAACCCTCCCAGTTCCCAGTTGGACACATCCACGGCGCAGGCAGGACACGAGGCTGGCGCTGGGGCGGTGGCACCTGACACCATCCCTTCTGCCCAGCACAAGCTGCACCGACACAGCCACCCCTCGCCGGCACAGCCCCTCCTACGCGCTCACCGCAGAGGAAACCCAGCTGTCGCCTGCGCCCCTGGCCCGTCCCGCCGCAGGAAGGCGGCTGCTCCGGCTGCACGGCAATTCCGGCTGCACCCCGGCCTCACCGGGGCCGAGCCAGCCCCCTGCTCCAGCCCTGGCCAGGCGTGTGCCCAGCTGTGCCCCGGGCAGTGCCCACAGCTTCCCGCAGGACAGCAGATGGGACCCGTGGGCACTGGGGGAGGTGCTTGGCATGGGCCCTGTGGCCAAATCCAGCCCCCAGGACGGGTGACCCCAGCCCCACTGAGATGCTGGTGCAGAGCTGCTGGTCCCCCCTCCAGCAGTGGCACAGGACCCAGGAGAAGCTGTGGCACCTGCCATGGTGGTGACAGCTCCAGGGCTGGCGAGGAGGGACAGGGCGGGGTGGGTGGCACAGCCAATGTCCCCCAGCAACTCCTCCCTGGGGCCCACGGGTGCCAGCTGACCACGGGATGGGATGGTCCCACCACAGCCACGGGACCAGCASTGCCCRGGCACAGCGAGAAGGRARAGGAAGGGAGAGGAAGAGAAAGGAAAGGAAATTTCAGAAGGGAAAGGAAGGGAAGAGGCGTCTGCTGCAGCGCCCGTGCCCACAGCGGAAGCGAGGGACAAACACGCCACGGGGCTGGAGCTCCTGCGGGACAGGATCAAACGGGCAGCCAGGCCAGCACGAGGAAGGACACGCTGAATGTGGCACAGGGTCCATGGGGACTCTTGCTGTGTCCAGCAGTGGCCCTGACCAAAGCACCAAACCCAACACTGCCGCTCCGCCCTGAACCCCACAGCACCGCAGCCATGGCCAAGCACCTTGTGCCAGGTGTGCCCGCACCAGGGAGCCCAGCCACGTCCCCACAGTGTGCCAGGAGCAGGTGGGCAAGCAGCAACACCCGTCCCCATGCCCTGTGCCCAGCGGGCACCGTGTCAGTGCCAGGACAGCAGGACAGCGCTGTACATGGGCCACCCTGACCCCACAGCGGGATCGTGTCCCCACACTGCCCGTGGCACCAGCCCCGTGCCGCACCGCCAGGCTGGGCAGGTCCTGCCCGAGCTTGTCGGGCTGCCAGGAACAGGTCGGGCAGGAGCCGGTGGCTCAGTCGGGCCGGTCCCGAGCCAGCTGCGCCGCGGGCACGGGTTCCACCGGGACACCGAACCTGCGGGGAGGCTGARCCCGCAGGGACACGGGCAGARCTCGAACCGACCCCCGGGGCCACARCCCKCCCTGGGGACAATCACCCAGCCCGAGAGTTCTGTCACAAGGACAGGGGACAACCTGCTCAGGGAAACACCACACGACACCGAATCCATCCTGGGGGACCCCAGATCTGTCCCCGCGGACCCCAGATCTGTCCCTGGCTGTCCCRAGYCCGTCCGGGGGGGATAAAGTCAGCRCAGATGTCCTGTYCTCGTCCCCAGCTGCGAGGGGTCCCTATCCTGCCGCAGAGGAACGGCCCGGCCGGGAAGGGACACCCCAGATCTGTCCCCGGGCACGGGGAGCCCACCGGGGGTTGGGGTTTTCGGGGTGCACACACACCCAGGGCTGGG